ACAATCGTGCCGGTTAGCGTGTACCACGTTTGTAATAGCGCATTAGCGCAATAAATAAAAGGACACGGTTCGAAAGAACAAAACTTAGCAATAGTCCAGCACTATTCGCGCAAAAGGACACGGTTCGAAAGAACAAAACTTAGCAATAGTCCAGCACTATTCGCGCAAAAGAACATGGTTCGAAAGAACGAAAATTAGCAATAGTCCAAGCACTATTCGCGCAAAAGGACACGGTTCGAAAGAACAAAGCTTAGCAATAGTCCAGCACTATTCGCGCAAAAAGACATGGTTCGAAAGAACAAAACATTAGCAATAGTCCAGCACTATTCGCGCCTAGTTCGAAAGAACAAAGATAAGCACCCAGCTCGCACATCCTCCGCGCGAGAAGACAAGGCAAAAGCAGCGGTTGTCGCTTATTCGCGCACACTAAGTCGTTGAACAAGATAGATAATAAAAGGGGGGAGGGAGAGAAGCCGAAACAAACATAGTCGAAAATCTATTGTTATAATCAAGGAGGGAGCCACAATGCCGTTCACGACTACACACAAGAAAACAACAGAAAAAGCACGAGAAAACTACAAAACAGTTAAGGCTCGATTGGGCCACATCTAAGCAGAGCCAGTGTCGGGCTGTTCGCCCTCCCTGCTCGACTTGCGGCGCAACAGAGGACGCTCCTCTTCCTCGTCCTCCTCATCTTCGTCGGCCACCTCTCCATCCTTCTTCTCCTTCCCTGTTGGACGCTCAACCTCCCCCCGGCGCTCCGCCTCTTCCTCCTCCTCTTCCTCCTCTTCCTCGGACTCGGAGTCAGAATCCAAAGGACGCTTCTCGCTGATCCACACTTTGACGTGCTGAACCATCTCGCGAGTGTCCCAGCGCATCCCCGGATTCTCAGGGCGGATCTTCTTACCAACCGCTATCACGGCCTTGGTCATGGCATCCGCCATGATCTTCCCGAAAGGTTGGGAAGACTTGAACTGGCGGACGGCCGCGACTTCAGCTGCGCGAACGGCCTCCGCCTTCGCAACGGTGTGAAGGCGAACAAGGTCGTCCTTCTCCTTCTGGAATTCTTCGCGAGCTTTGCGCAATCTCTCAGAGAAGGAGACTTCCAGTTCTTCTCGGAGAGCAGTGCGCTCCTCGTTCCGCACCTGCTCTTTGGCCGCCTCCACGTCGGCGGCCAATCGGCTCTGCAAAAGGCCGAGTGACTCCAGCGCCTCGTTGGCCTTAGAGGTAGCGTCCTCGGCACGATTGTTCGCCCCGAGCACCTTCCCCTCCAACTGCACGATTTGCGCCTCGTCGGCCTTCATCTTGGCACGCATCGAGGCGCGCTCTTGTTGAGCGCGAAAGGTCGCCGACAAACCCTACAACGCCACGAGTCTTAGCCAAGTAAAAAAAGAAGGAGGGGAAGGTTAACAAAATAAACCTTAACCTAAACTGAGTCTTACCGCGAAATGGATCTGCGCCAGGTGGTGAAGAGGGTCCGTCTTTTCCACCCGCGGGGGAACGGAGAGAACGGGCCCGATCGCCCGAAGCGCATGATTGGCCGACACCAAGTTACACGCCGCTGCGGTGTGAATCCGCACGTCGCGGACTTGGTGGACGGCGGCGGAGGGCGGCACGGTGCTGACGGGAGGAGCGGTAGCGGATGTCCCGGATGAGCTGCCAGCCCCATCCCCACCTCGACGAACGGGCCGGCTCACCGTCGCCTCGGGCTCCGAAAGCGCCAGTGAGAGCTGTTGCGCGGCGGACAGCTGCGGCGTCGCGGGCAGTTGCTTCGCCACTTGGGCGGCTGGCTCCGCTATACGAATGGTCTTGCGGGGCCTCTCGACAACCTGCGGTTGCGGCTGCTCGACCTCCTTCCGCTTCAAGGGTCTCGGCGCCGCGCCGACCTTCTTCTTCCTTTTCTTGTCGGCACGCGGCGCGACGTCCTCCACCGACATCATACTCGCGAGGGTGGAAAAGTCAACACCTGCGCCAATAAATCGTAAGAGGGCGGTTAATAAGATAGAATACAAAAGGAAGGAAACATAACTAACCATCTCCAAAGAGCTCTTCCAGACAGGCTTCGCGGACACCCCGCTTGTATAAGTTCATGCGGTGAGGCATGCAAGCCTCATACTCATCGTTGAGCCCGTCGTAGTTACCGACGTCGGACTCGAACCCGGCTATACTGCCCTTCATCCAGGAGGTGGGCTCCGGCAGCGACCCACTCGCCCATTCCCCGGGAGCGGGCTTAACGTAGAAAAACTAGCCGAACCAAGTCTTCTTCAACTTGGGCGAGCCGTACACGAAGCCATCGGGGCGGTGGTCGCGTCGCTGGATGGAGAGACAGTCGCTCACCTTTGTGGGCTCCTTGATTTTATACATCTTCCTGAATAGGCCGTAAGTAGGCACGATGTTAAGCCTTTTGCACGCGAGACGAAGGCAACTCGCGTGCATGATGACTGACGGGGAGAGCCGACCAATGGAGCACTTGAGGCGGTCGTATATGGCGCATAACAGTGGGTCGATGGGGAATTTGAACCCCATAACCCAATACTCTGCGTACACACCAAACCACCCTGGGGGGCAGTTACCCACCATACTGCGCACCGAGAGAGCGGCGTACTCCCAATTGGGGGGCAAGCCCAATCCGCGAACCAACTCCTCCACGTCATCCACGTCATATGTCGAGGAGTGCTCGGGTCCACGCTTGAGATTGTCAGACGGCGCCGGCTGGTCGCCCCACATCTCGGCCCATTCGATCACGCGATATGTAGAGCCAACACCTTGCGGCCCCAAGCGGGCCATGGCTTCGGTAACGCGCTCGACTGCTCGCGGTGCGAATTGCACACCAAAGTCTCCTTGCTCCGTCTCATCGACGAAGTCTTCATCGTCGGCGACTTCATCGTCGCCGACCTCACCATCGGCGATTCCCTCGTCGGCCGCTTCCTCGCCGGCAACCGGCCCACCACCCTGCTTACGCCGAATAATCAAAGTCCCCCGAGCCGGCCGCACCACCTCCCCACTCCCGGAAACGAGTATACCCGGATCAGAAGAGCTTCCAGCCCCATCGTCCGACCTAGCATCGAACGTCGGCGTCGCCGGAAGTCCACCACCACTACTGCCAGCCCCACCGTCGGATCCACCGTTCCAATCCCCAGAACCTCCATTCCCACCACCGGAATGGTCAGAAGAAGTATGCGAGAGAGGAGAGACATTACCTTCTTCGCCTTGTACGACCTCGGCCTCCTGGTGTTGACGTTGGACATGATATCGACTCGAAGTTGATCAACAGCAGAAGAGGATTAAGGTAGTAAAAGGAGGAGAGAAAATCTCAAAGAAAGAGAAGTGAAGGAAGAGGGAAATCTCAGGAAAACAAAAGCGAGGCTATGATCGGAGAAAACAAGTGAGCCCTCCTCCCTTCAACAATCTCATATTTATAATTGATCAGGGGGAAAGCGAAGGGCCAAGGCCGGTCGGCGGAAGGCGAAAGGTTAAAGCCACATTGGGATCCGTAACCGTCAGATCTCACCAAATCTTTTCGAAATTCAAAAAATCCCCGCCCAAATATCCTAACCACACAGTGACACGTGGACACCTACGATCATAAGCATTAGTCGGCGACGCCACCAGTGCCGCGCACCGACTGGGGGGCATGGCACACCCGCGAGGAAAAGAAAAACACGCATTGCGTCGCGACAAGAAAACAACCCCATGCGCGCATCGACGAGCATCGCGCGCGAGTATCGCGCTCAGCGAACAAAGATCAACCACGAGCGCTTGCCGCGAGGATAATGCCTGGAAAAGGAAAACACGCGTTGCGCTACGAAAAGAAAACAACTCCACGAGCGCATCGCCGAATATCACGCTCAGCGAACGAAGATCAACAACGAGCGCATTAGCGCGTACCGCGCGGAACGAACAGCGCGCGCCGAGCATTGCGCGTGGCGACCGAATGAAGCCCAACAACGAACGCGATGGCGCATGACATCAGGGCAAGGCGACGCCAGTTCATAGTATCGCGCACGTCGGCGCCAACCAATAGCTACAAGCGGAGTGGGCCCAAAAGACCCGCCCCTCGAATAGCACGCCGGCCCGAGTCTGGAGGAAACCTAAACAGGGGGCGTTCACAAAACACCCCCTGATGGGGGGCAATTGTTGGGCATAGGACTCGGGCCTAATCACGCCAAGGAACCGGGCGCAACTGAATAAGACCCCAACACGGCGGCGCAAAGACCCCGAGTGTGCCGCCTCATCATGGCTAACCACGTCCCGGCGCGAAGAGAGGACATGCGCTAGGGGAGGACTAGCGTAGGCCAAACCAGAAGATGAGGGAAGCGCACCTCTTCCAAGCGAGTAGTCACATCAGGGCTATGAGTGGATCTCTGACGCATCCTAGGTAGAGGAATGGCCTAAAAACCTTAGTGTGCTAGTGGTCACATCATTGGTCACATCATTGTATCCCAGTAGTCACATCACTGTATCTCTCCCTATGTCAGCCACTCACCCACCACCATGAAGCCTATAAATATGGCATTTACTACGGTGGGTGAGGGGATCGATTTTTCACCATTCTCTCGATAACTATTACTTCTCTTTCTAAAAATTGGGACTCCGGTCCTCGCTCAACTCCCTAATTCCTATCTCCCTGATCAAACTTGACGCTTGTGTTTCTTCTTGACCCAAACTCTCATTCGAACCTCACTCCTACACTCAGTTAGGTTCAAACACTTTTCATTTATAATTTCATTACAAATAAGTTATGCAACTTGTTTGCAACCGGCCTACTTTCATTTGTTAGAGAAAGCATTTGATAAAGGTCTAAAAATAACAATTCATTTGATTAATGATTATGTTATTCAGTATAATATTAAAAGAAATGTATCTACAATTTGATACAATGTTTTTAAACTTTAGCTTAAATTCTGGCTACACTGTCACTAACCATAGCTTAGGACATATATCAATGCTTAAGAAGAAGAAAACACAATCATTATTCCAATCCAAACCCCAAACAGGATTTATGAAAGAATTTCGAAATAACAAAAGGCACACACAAGTGTAATGTTCCCATAAAACCCAAAAGACACTTTATTCTTGAAGACAACTGCCGACTCCAAAGTCCAAACATCAGCATAAATGATTACGACAACTGACAGGACACCCTGCAAATCATTCCTCTTCTGTCTCAGATTCAGCATTCTGCAGCCATTCAACAAACGGCTGAACACTCTTTCAGAATCTGAGATTCCTTGTCGCCTCCATTGAGAGATTTCCGTACCACTGCAGAATGCAAGAATCTGCTCATCCTCCAAAACACCAGCGTCATAGAGAGCTATGAGAGCAACAGCCACTTCCACACCTGAACAAGATTCCTGAAAGAAACCCTGGATGGAACCAAGTAGAAGCAACTGTGAATCTCCACCTTGGGCTACAATGGCAGCAGCCAGATACATCTTCTTCTTGGCAGCTTCCTTCGCGAGTCCCTTGCCCTCGAACAAAGCCATAAGCAAAGCATCCATCTTTTCCTTTATCCAAATCAGGCAGTGAATCCAGAAGACCAGGCAGCTGGCCTGGAGCGATTCCTTTACCAATGCTTTCCTTTTAACTCGTTGGCTAGAGTCCTGACAGAACTCGTCTTCTCGTTCTCTTTCGATATCAATTTCTCCTCGGCTCTAGGAGAAACAGCAACTTCCAGGCTGCTGCCATTTGCTTTTGCTGTTTCTTTGGCCTTCTTCCCCGTATCAATGGTAGAAAGCATAACCATTTCAGCAGTAGCAGAACTCAATTGTTCCTGGATGCGCCAAGGAACTGCCTCCGCAGATGTTTCAGCGTGCCACTGAACCTCGTCATCGTTTTCCTTCTCATCAACCTGACTGTGGGTAGCCGAGACACGTTCTTCATCAGATCCGCTTGCCTTCTTCTTTAAACTTCCAGCCATGGCTGATACATCTTTTTGGGTAGTAGTAGTAGTAGTAGTCGTGCCCTTCTTCTGGACATCCTTCTTCAGGTTCTTCATTTCCTCAGCTCTCCTCATTGACTTCCAGAATCCAGATCACATCATCTGTCAAACAAGTACCAAGTAAGAAGATACTACACATACAAATATATTCACTATTTTAGCTCATAGCTTAACCAAAAACAATAATGGTTAAAGAGACAAAAACAGAGATAACAAGTCATTGGGTTAACCATTAGCTACACAAGCGTAAGAAACCCTAACAACGCCATTAGCAAATGAATTACAGCTTCCTACGATCAAAACTACAAATCCCAAATCCAGCACCCATCCTACATTACTACCTGGTCCAACAGATGATACAAAAGACAGGAGCCGTAACAATTACTCACATCTCTCTCATACACTCCTAGCAAACCTAAAGCTCCATCTTCACCACTCCAACACTCGGCGCACCACCTTCTGCTGCTGCAGCAGCACCATGAATAAGCCAATCTTTAGCACACACGAGTGCCTCGACAGTCTCGGGCCTCAACGAGCTCCTGTACCGATCCACCTCTCTCGGCAGCACAGTGTCAAATACGTTCTCCGCAGTTGCAGTAGACACCGGAATGCTCAGTATATCACGAGCCATCTTCGACAGTGTTGGATACTTCATCTTGTTCTGCCTCCACCATCCCAACACGTCGAAATCAGACACTCTCGGGAGCAATGAGTCGTCCAAGTACATGTCCAGCTCCGACTTCGTCTGGTGGCTCGTGGACTCCATGATATACACATCGAAATCTGCCAGCCCGTTGTCCACAACTGCCCCCTGCTGGTTCTCTTCATTCCTTAGGTTGGGGTCTGCATTTTCTTCGTATGTTGGTGTCAGCGGTAGAGGCAGTGCCACGTACTCCTTGAACAGATCGTGGACCCCGTCGTCGACGATCTTTATGTATGCGGGAGCATCGTCACCATATATCTTGGAGAAGCTGAACTCGACCAGCTTCATCTTAAACCGAGGGTCCATCACTACTGCAACTGCTAAAGCCAAGCTGCAATCTTTGATATATTTCTCGATCTTGTCCTGCAGTTCTTTGATGAAATTGTTGATGAAAGGATCACCAATAGCAGCAAGTTTAGAGAGCTCAGCTTGAATCCTCCAGGCTTCATGGAAGAAAGTGATTGCAATTGGGTTGGTCGAGGATGAGAGAAGGTTAGCTGCATCGACCAGATGTTTCAGTATTGAGCATATCATTTCAACTTGCTTCCACTCCAACATTGATGGTGCTTCCTTGTAGTGAGGATCAGAGGTATCCAAGCATGAAAATACTTCTTTCAATTCCGAAGCAGCTAGAAGCATTTCATACGTCGTGTTCCACTGACTCTGGTCGTCAAGTTGGAGGCTTTTGTCCGATGGGACTTGCAGTTGCCGTTTGAGCTCGAGAAACTTGTCCTCGTGGGATTCGAGGGTCTTCACGTACTTCACGCTGTCGCGGATTTTCGACACAAGATCTCGACACGTTGACAACAACTCTTTCGCCATGCTGGTCAAGGTGTGTGAGATGCAGTTGCCAAGCACCAGCTGACCGTTGAGAATCCGCGTATTCTTGATACACAACAAAGATAGAAGACTTTCGAGACCAGCATCTCCAACAGGATGGTTAAAGGTAACAGAGAACAGTTTACCTTCCAAACTCCAATCAGAAAGGCAACACGCCACTGCATGGCTTAGGGCAGCATCTGAATCAGGATAGGGCTCCATCACTACATTCAGCATCTTCTTCTGCGGCTTCCAATCACTATCAATGAAGTGCCCAGTGATGAACACATAGCCTATGCTTTCACAAGAAGTCCACATGTCCAGTGTAAGGGTAACGCGTCCAGGGAGTCCTTCAATAAACTTCATAACGTTCTGCTTCTCCCTCAGGTACGTAGCAACACAATCTCCCTGGACAGTGTTGAAGCTCACCATTCCGAATCGAGGCTGGAGGTTTGAGACGAAAGTCATGAATCCGGCATGTTCGACCATGTGAAGCGGGTAGTCGTGCATGATGATCATCTTTGCAATCTCATGGCGGCATCGGTCAGAGTCAAAGGGGAAGTAAGAGGAAGAGTTGGGTGATCTGTATCGGCGTTTTGGTGGGTTGCTAGTTGCACCTCCAGGGGTATCATTATACGACAGCATTTGAGGATGTCCGTGGTTTCGGAGCAAGGCTAGACAAGTGCCTTTTGCTATGTGGCGCTTGAGGTGACTGGTCCCAGCGACTTTGGAACCCGTGCTATATGCAAAACTCTGCTTGCACTGCTTGCAACAAGCTCTTCTGCAACCATCCCCAACTGTCTCAATGGTGAAGTGTTCCCAGACAACGGATTTCTTCCTCCTTCGCTTGTTGGGCCGGGAGTCGGGAGTTACCAGGTCGCTGTTGTCGTCATCATTGGGGAGCATCAACTGATAGTTGTTTTCCTCATCATGATGATGGATCATCAGCTGGTTGTTGTGGCTATCTTCTTCCATCACAATTAGCTGGTCACCCATGTGATGATGGTTGCCGTCTACCATCTGATCATTGTTGTTCTCTTCATGTGACATCAGCATCTGGTGGTGGTTCTCTTCATGAGACACCACCATGTGGTGTTCATCTGTCATCATCAATTGGCTGCTGTTGTCCTCGTGCGAAATCATCATTTGAGGCTTGTTATCCTCGTTAGACGGTATCATTTGAGTAGTGGTGTCTTCATCTATCATTTGAGTGTCTATCTGTGTGTTGTCGTCCTCGTGTGGTGTTAGCATCTGAGTGCTCTCCTCCTGGGGCACCACCAACTGAGTGTTGTCATCCTGGGGGGGCGCCACTTCAATGTTCGCTTCCTCAGGCACCATAATCTCACTGTTCTCTTGCTGGGGCATTACCACCTCATTCTTCTCCTCTTCAGTCACCACAACTTCATTGTGATCCTCCTGGGGCACCGAAACTTCACTACTCTCTAATTCAGGTTCACCCATCTCATTGATATCCTCCTGAGGGGCCGCCAGCTCACTCTTCTCCTCTTCTATCGCCACCATCTCACTCTTCTCCTGGGGCAACCCTATCTGACTGCTCTCCTGAGGAGGCTCTGCCATCTCACTGTCTTCCTCCTCGGTCACAACCGTCTCATTGAGCTCCTCCTGCGGCACCACCATCTCACTGTTCTCCTGCAGGGGCACAGCCAACTTACTGTTCCCCTCTTCAGTTACCATCTCACTGTTCTCGTGCTGGGGTACAGCCATCTGATCGATATCTTCCGGTGATACCAATGTCTGATCCTGCTCTTTTTGGGGCGATAACCTCTGACTGCTATCTTCTTCGTGTGGAACCGGTTCCGGGGTGTTCTCTTCATGTGATGGCAACTCCTGATTACTCTGTTCATCTGGTACTGATGTCTCATTACTCTGATCTTGTGATACATCTGTTTGATCGTTGCTCACTTCCTCAGTTACAGCCTTCTGATTTGTATCTTCTTCTTGAGATACCACTTCATTATTCTGATTTGGTGACTCCACCTTATTGTTGCCCTCTTGAGATGCCACTTCCTGGTTCTTCTCTTCTTGTGACTCCATCTCATTGCCGTCTTCTGGCGGTGCCACCTTTTGATTATCCACTTCTTGAGTCGCCACCTTCTGGTTGTCCTCTACTTTTGGCACCACCTTTTCATTATCCTCTTCCTTTGACACCATTGTGTCATCTTGTGATTGCAATGGCTGATTATTCTCTTTAGGCTCTGCTACACTCTTTTCTCCCTCTTCAGGGGATGAGGGCTGCTTGCTTTCCTCAACAGCAGGAGCTGGAGTGTCTGGTAGAACAGTACTACTTTCTTCAGGAGTCGTCATTCTCCCACAACAAAATCAAAACCCTGCTTTATGGAACAAAACACAGATTCACTCCATCATTCAGCAAAGCTATCCAAGTACCAAGGCGGTAAGTGAGCAGGAAATTCACTCCACAGTAGCTGTAAGTGAGCAGGAAATTCTCATCATCAACCAAGGCGGTAAAGAAATACACAGAGTACACAGATAAGAAAGAAAGTCAAAACATTCCTCAACCATTAAAATAGATCATTTGATGGTAAAACACATTATTATAGTAAACTTGACAAACGCATTAGGAGACAAAGGTGAATGAACAGACAATGATCGTTTAACATCCACTGCGAGAGCGAAAAGATCATAACGGAATCAAGATTGATTCCTATGATAGCAAAGAAACTAGGAGCTAAGAAAAGCCTCATAGGTTGAACACACAGACTGAGGAAAGGGAGGGAAAAGAAACAAAGGAACAAAGGCAAACAGATACAAAGGGCCTGCAGGTCTTAGTCATACAGATTACTTAACAAAGACTCGGCTTTTGGGTGATCCACAGGCCTAAAGGCGCCGCCTTTTTCCTTCTATGCAAGTTAAGGGAATAGGAAGAACACAATCAGCAAGTTATCTCACGAGCTCAATCACTATCGGGCCTTCCAAAGAAGTGGTTTACCAAAAGCGTAGGCCCATGGTCGGTAATTACAACAAGGGCGCAACTAGCGCCCCCACGTGGCACTTTAAGGGGTAAAGTGGGCAAGCTCTTCGCAAACAGGCTAAGCCGGGTCAACGAAGGGTTGAAGCAGATCTACTGCCACAATTCCTATAACCACCGGTTGGGCTTGTCATCGTCCGAACAGCCAAAAATAATAAGCACCAACCGAAAGAAAGGAACAAACAAAAGCCCAGAAGAAGAACGATTGAACCCAATCAATATCGCCAGTTCGCCACTGGCTGACCGTCCTTTTTTCCCTCCAGAACGAAAATCATTTACCTCCAAAAAGTTCAAATTTTTTCAAAGGACCAGAGTTCAAATTTCAAAACCCAGAAAATTCCTCAGCTCGAGACACGAAATTTACAGAACTACTCGTCAAATTGACACCGCAATAGGAAAGGCCGGCCCCGATACAACAACCCAGCTCAAGAACACCCATAATTCATTCAACCGAAACGAGCTCGGGAAAACTAAGGGGAGGGGAAATGAACCCAATTCAACAATAACGTAATTCAACAACCACAGCCAACACCAATCAAAATCAAATTCGAAAACGATAGAGAAGAGAGGAAGGGGAAGCAAACAAACAATCAAATTAGAGCTGAGAAAAGTTAGGGTTGAGAGCTAATTTACCGGGCAATAGAAAAAAGGAGGGAAGAGAACACGGATCTTCGTACGACCGGGAGAAGAGAAGGAAGGAAGATCGGGGGCCCAAGCTCCGATGGGCTCTGCAAGATCTAGGGTTTTGGTTATACTATCATTATTTCCCCCCAGATTGAGAGGAGAGACGGGGGAAGTGGTAATGGAAGGTAGAGAAAAGATCTGTGGATTTTCTGGGGATGGAAGGGAGGGAACGAACGGGATCGGGGTGAGAAGGGGGAAGGGATTTGGGCCAGATCCAGCTGGGTTTGGAAGAAGGGCTTCAATTGGACCTGAGAACTCGAGAAAGGAGAAAAGCTCGTTTCTTTTCTTTCTGCTTATGGCGATAGAAATGAAGACTACTCGGCTGAAGAGATAAGGGATTGGGGGGAGAGAGAAAGAGTGTTGACGGATTGGGTGTGGGAGAGGATTATTAAATCCAGTTTTATATGGACTTTCGGGTCCATGAAAGAAAACCCTATTTTGGGTTCCGTCTTCCATCTGATCTTTATCCGATAAGCCCAATGGGGGGACGACGGTAAGACGACGGCGTTTTGAGAGGTTGGTTCGGTGAAGGGTTTGATATTTGTTGTGGGCGATAAGACTTAAGCGGTGTGGCAAACTGGTGGGCCCATTATTTGGGCTTTGGTTTTCAGTTTTGAAATATGTGATTTTGGGTGGACCCACTTTGGCGTGGGGATTGGGTGGGCCAATTATGGCTAAGCTATAGCCCAATTAAATGTGGGATGTGCTCACAATTTTGACTTAGGGTAACATTATTTTTCCCTATGAAAAAATCCAAAACTATCATTGTTTAAAAAAAATCAACAAAAATACCACTCAAACCGAAAAAATTTCAAATCTACCACCCTTAATAAAAAAACTGCACCACGGAGGGGCGGTTATAGTGAAAACCGCACTGCAAAGGTGTGGTTTTCCTTGAAACCGCATGCTGAGACAACGGTTTTTTTTATTTGGAAAAAACGATATGTGAGGAAGCGGTTCCCATGGCTTCCCTAGCACAAACCGCATGCTCGGGGGGGGGGGGGGGGTATGGTTCTGCGTCGGTAACAAAAATCGCCTCTCAAGCAAAAGGTTTATCTGGTCGATGCACAAACCGTTCGCACAAACAGCACTCCTCCCAACGGTTTGTGCCTTGTCCCCATTTCCCCGACATTCGACATATCAGCATGCAGGAGGTTGTAGTGGTAGGGACTGCATGCCAGACTAAAACCGCTCAGTGTCAATTTTGCCTATAAAAGGCAGTCCTGGAAAACTCAAATCTTCAATCCTCTCCTTCTTTTTCTTCAAATTTCTGTTGTGCACCTTTCATTTTTTGAGTTTTTGTGATTAACGTTAATTCGTAAGTTTGTTTTGTATTACTTTTCTTTGTGATTTTATGGTAATAACTTAATTACGGTTTTATTGCAGATGACATTCCAAAAGTTCACGCTTGGGTTACGGTGAAATGGTTACACGGAAGAGACCGGAAAGGGAGTACGTTACGTCGGTCACAATTTTTATAAAATGAAGGTTGCTACGAGACCGATGTTTGAAGAGTTCAATCAAATGTGTACTAAGGTTACCTGCATGGATGGCACGAGAATAGTTGATCATATGGTGTATCGATATCCAAACACAACTAAATGTTGGTTGTGCTCACAATTTTGACTTAGACCATCTAAATCCCTAAAATTGATTGGCAATTTCTAAATGTGGTCCCCACAACCACATCATAAAGTTTAGCAATTTTCCACTTAGCAATTTCTAGTCATCAACATCCCTAAAATATGTTAGCAATTGGTAATGTGGGTCCCGCCCACTATTTAAATCTATCAAACACTCTACATTTGAAGGGATGGTCTAACTAAGAAAAATAGAAAATAAGACAATTACACTTGTGGTATTGCTAGAGAACTTTCCAAATTAGCAATCTTGCTAACTAGTTTTTTACCCGGCCCGTTGGCCGGAGAATTTCATTTTATTATTTATGTTAATTAATTTATCTATATGTTTAAACTTTTTTTTTGGATCTTGTAGATATTTTTTGCTCTTGCCTGAAAATTCTTAATACTTAATAATAGTTAGCACACTCGTTTATAATCTTTTGATTATAATCATAAATTATGTCGTGAAGGTTTATCAAGTCCTATTTTAATTCGATATCAAGATTTGTCAACTCAAATTTATTATCTTATACAATATGTACCAATTCGTGATTCTCGAGTTTGGACAAACTTTCAACCAATTGATGAGAACAAATTATTGGATAAAGATACTTGATCAGTGGATATGTTTAGTTTTATTCCAATTGGAATTTTACACACATCGCACCCCTTATTGTGATTAAATTCTCTAATCCTCGCTCATCTTCATTATGGATGTTCATGAAGTCTCTGTATATGATCTTATAACAAAATTTATCTATCAAGACACTAAAATTTAGTATATAATACAATACGAATCAATCGCTAATTTTCGATGTCTGGACTACGCTCAGTCCATGGTTGTTATCTAGATGTTGATTTAGAATGTCAATCCAAGACATTCACATTCATAATCAATGATTCTCGTCTTAACATGGTCATTCATTGTATAATTGTCTCTCATCCTAGGATACGAAGTCAAAGTCTGTCAACAATCATATTTAGCCAAAATTTTGATTTATAATCCTCAAAAATTAATAACTCCAAGTCTGTAAAAAAAATTCTTATTATATAACGTAAAATCTCAATAGAGTTTTCTCAATCAACATGGTCTAGAGCAAATATTAGTAACGTAAACTTAGAATACATAATAAATTATTCCACTTGTGATTCCTATATTTTCACTTAGGAACTATTTTAAGAAATAACTATAATTGATCGGTCAAGTTTCTATCCGAATCTTTCTTGTTTTCTCTCTTTCCATTGCTATATTTTGTCTTAGTAAAATATTATTACTAATGTATGTGTTTGTTCAAATTTTTCATCAAAATGAAACCTATTTTTAAGTTTTAGTGAAAATGAGTAAAATTTTTACTTAGTAAGCTTTAATAAGATATTTTGGTTGTAAAAATTATTATACGTGTCACTCTAAACATATCCCTAAATGTATAAAGATACAAAATGAAATTTTTTTTCCGGTAATTAGCAGATTTCATTGAAGCATCCTCCCGGCCAACTAGCACAAGGAAGTCGAAAAAATACAAAGGCATTCAGCCCACACTCTTCTTGCAGACAGAGATACCAAAACAAAATTCCCACCCGTTACAAAACCCCACCACAGTTAGCCGAAGTTTGCAGCTGGGTAGCAAACTCAGGATGCCCACATGCATATAGCCTAATCTCATCCCTGATTAACTCACTAAGTACTACTGCTGGACGAGGAGCCTCTCCATAAACTCGTCGACAGCGTTCCCTCCACACTCCACATATACACCAACTCCACACCGAGTTTTCAATTAAGCCTCCTGGATTCTTGAGGCGATCAGTCATGAATTGCAGCATAGCAGACCAATCAACAGGGACCTGTATAGTATAGCCCAGAATACCAGCAGCGACCTCATTAGTATAGCAACAGTGGCAGAAAAGATGAGAACGATCTTCCTCCACCAAAGAACACAATAGACATGCACTATCTGAAATCAAGCCCCAGTTTTTGAGCTTGTCACGAGTATTGATTCTGTTCATAACAATCA